CTCAGTGCCTGAAGAGAAATCAGTGAACAGTCTTTCACAAAAATATAAGCCAAGTGCTGAGTAGATGATGTCTGGAAGACAGAGAATTTCAGGGTTGAAGGAAATCAGAAGACAAGAGAAAAGGGTAACAGAATAACAAATAAACTGGAAACGGGCAGAGGGGTTGTGTGATTTTTTTGGGGGGGGAGGAGACAAGTGGGAAAGGAGAATGGGAGAAGAAATCACAGGAGATGGGCAAAATACTTTGAGAGGCATGTGGGGGTGGGAAGGGGAAAATATACAACAAAAGCATTCTCCACTTGGTGAGCATCTGGATCAGCCAATTCTGCCTAAAATGGAAAGGCTGGCTCCCAATACCTCCAGAATCAACGTATGTACTAGCATGAAGATTACATATCAGTAGAAAATGAAATCAGTAATTCCCAAGGGCTTATGCACCTCCACCTGCCTCCATTTTATGGCTTCCGCTTCCCCTGCACCATTTTGTGATGGCCTCTATGATTTTCAGCCATCTCATGTGCGTTCTGGGGTAGAAAGTCTTAGAACATCTGCTTTACCATTTTCTTGTAGGGAAAGTATGGCAACCTCTTGATCATTTTGGTTGTCCATATCTATACTTTTCCAAGTTCACAAGGTCCTATTTGAGATGGGGGAACTAGAATTGTGCAACATATTCCAAATGTAATTGCACCACAGATGAAGTGCTGAATCATACTGGAGACAAATCATGTGAAACTCTCTCTTCTGTACAGTCAACTCTGTACCGTACTCCCTTTGTGTTATATGGGGCTTTGTTGTTGTTTAGTCTTTTAGTCGTGTCCGACTCTTCGTGACCCCATGGACCAGAGCATGCCAGGCACTCCTGTCTTCCACTGCCTCCCGCAGTTTCGTCAAACTCATGCTGGTAGCTTCGAGAACACTGTCCCACCATCTCGTCCTCTGCCGTCCCCTTCTCCTTGTGCCCTCCATCTTTCCCAACATCAGGGTCTTTTCCAGAGAGTCTTCTCTTCTCATGAGGTGGCCAAAGTATTGGAGCCTCAGCTTCAGGATCTGTCCTTCCAGTGAGCACTCAGGGCTGATTTCCTTCAGAATGGATAGGTTTGATCTTCTTGCAGTCCATGGGACTCCCAAGAGTCTCCTCCAGCACCATAATTCAAAAGCATCAATTCTTCGGCAATCAGGCTTCTTTATGATCCCGGTCTCACTTCCATAGCTTTAACTATACGGACCTTTGTTGGCAAGGTGATGTCTCTGCTTTTTAAGATGGTGTCTAGGTTTGTCACTGCTTTCCTCCCAAGAAGCAGACGTCTTTTAATTTCGTGACTGCTGTCACCATCTGTAGTGATCATGGAACCCAAGAAAGTAAAATCTCTCACTGCCTCCATTTCTTCCCCTTCTATTTGCCAGGAGGTGATGGGCCCAGTGGCCATGATCTTCGGGTTTTTTATGCTGAGCTTCAGACCATATTTTGCGCTCTCCTCTTTCACCCTCATTGAAAGGTTCTTTGATTCCTCCTCACTTTCTGCCATCAAGGTTGTGTCATCTGCATATCTGAGTTTGTTGATATTTCTTCCAGCAATCTTAATTCCGGTTTGGGATTTATCCAGTCCAGCCTTTCGCATGATGAATTCTGCATATAAGTTAAATAAGCAGGGAGACAATATACAGGCCTGTCGTACTCCTTTCCCAGGTATGGAGCTTACTCCCAGGTAATTTGGATTTTTGCCATTCTGGAAACAAATTAAGCCATTTTTGAGTTCTATCCAAATGCTTGTATTAAAATTCCAATAGCAAATCCAAGATTTAAAGTCCTTTAAAAAGAATTATTATGGAAGTACTGCAAGGTGAGACTTCAAATCACAATGATTAAAAGTTTTAAAAAAAAACACATAGTAGAAAATTATATTAGCTGAACAAAACAAAAACAAAAAAACCAAAGTGAGAGAGCTATCTTGTACATGGTAAAATATATAATCATTCCATTTTTTGAAGTACTTAACAGCTGAATTGGCAGCACTGAGTTTTTGACTCCCTCCATCCAATCCCAAATTAAAGTTGAGAAAAAATAAAACTTTTCCAGACTCCTCTATCAGGATTCCTTTGCGCCATTTACTTATTCAGGCTACCATTAAAAAGCTCAAAGTTCAACAAAGTGCTCTGGGGATTAAATGCAAAGGCCGCATTCAATTATCCATAAGCAAGATAGAAATGTCAGACCCAGGACATTTGCACTGCCTGGTCTAATATTGAAGCTTCCTGTCAGAACAAAATTAAAGATCTTGGCAGGTAAGGAAAAAAGAAAAAGAAAAAAGGCCTTGCACATTGGCTTGTCTATTGTTTCTGAGTTTCTGCTGTGGCATCATCATTAATAAATAAGGCAGGAACCAACCCTGCACTATTTCCCGAGTGTTTAAAAAACTGGACAGACCTGTTAGGAAGAACTTAAGATTTCATTCTAATACAGACAGGAATTTCTGGGTTTTTAATGATCTGTTGCATGGTTAATCGTCTCTCCCCTACTCACTGAAAAAGACACATGTACAGCCTCCTCCTTAAAGTATTCTGCTAGCAGAAACTCTGCTGACCACAAGCAGTTTTTATGCAGGGATCATATGGAACTACGCGTTGTTGACAAGACAGTTGCCTAACTAGCAAGGGTACCTTGAGCCCTCACTCAGGACGCAGCCCAGATGGAACCCAGAAAGCAATCATCTGGGTGCTCAAGTGGGCATCTCCCAAGGGCACAGACCCTCCTAGTTGCCATCCTATCCATCCTCTAAGGTAATATTTTAGAAGCTGGAGAACACAAACTGAATAACACATGACTGTACTTGGTCGGGGGGGGGGGCGCTGCCCTGAGGCCCAAATGCAGTTCTCCGAACCTCTCTCTCTCTCTCTCTGCACTCAGAGGGACTTTCCCCAGGCCACTTCTGCTGCCTCGCCAATCCACTCTGTGGCCCTACTCCAGACCCCTTCCACTGCCCTGGCTGGAGAAAGTGCTTGCATCCTGACAATGCCTCCTGCTTGCCTGGACGAGGACAGGTTTACTACTCTGCTCCCAGAAAGTTGCCCAGACCCTCAGACTGAAAAAAGTTCCTCATCCCTGGCCTAGTGAGTTCAGGGCTTTGCAACAATCTGAGAGAGATTGCTCAGAGCTACAGAACAGCTTCAGGCTCGAACAGGACGTGACACTGACTGGACATGCATGAATGCATGCCTTTTAGAGTTGTTGTTCTTCTTCTTGCTGCTGCTAAAAGCGGTTGAAAGGAGGGATCTATTCGGGATCTGCCCTTATGCCATGTCCCCAATCTAAACCGCCTCCCTTTATTTGCCTGTGTTTGCTCTGGGTGGCGCTGGGCTGTGGAGAGGAAATGCACTGAGGAACCAGCGTTGGGGGAAAGAGTTGCACCCCCCCCCCGCCATGCTGCAGCAATAAGTCTCACCAGACACATACACTCCCACAGCTGCTTTTAGCAAAATATAAAGGAAAGAAAGAAAGAAGACACACATTCACACAATTGTGTTCTCAGTTGTTCTGGATGAATGGACCTGAGCTAATGGGTACAAATTATAAGGTGTTTTGACTGAAGAGCTACACCTGAAGTTGACAGACTGTCTTTGGCTGGAATTGCCCAAGTGGATTTCAGGCAACAGATAGAAGCTGGACCAGACGACCTTTGAGGTCTCTTCTAACATAATGTCTGTCCTGCACCTGCAAGAAATCAGTTCTGCAGAGTGCAATGCTAATATTAATGTCGGCTCCTTCAGTGTTGGTGACTGCTGAACACTTTGTTTAAGGCAAGCCCACACAGACATATAATTTTATTATGTAATTTGTTTTAAAACTGCTGATGTTATTTATATGTTGATGAATGTTATGTCAACATCTTTTCAATGTTTGATTTTTTCAGTACAGTATCTTTTAAAAAAGCTTTCTCATGTTGTACATTACTTAGAGCTCTTTGTTCACTAAGTGTATATAGAGTCTGTTAAATAAAAAATAAATAAAATAAACCAGCATGACACAGGATGTCTATAACAGAGCACCCCCCTCCTCCATTGTAATTGGGCTCCAAAGAAGCCTTCTACCAAAGACAAATGTGGTGCGGATGAAGGAAGACTCCCTTGCTCCCGGCCCTGAACTTCCCTGCTCAAAATGGCTTGAAAAAATATCCTATTGACTCCAACAGAAACATGTTTCAGCCCCAAACAAACTGCAGTTTCGTAAAATTAATCAATGATATCTGAAAATACGAGAAGCGCATCACCTGAAAAACCGAAGGTCTTTCAAGAAGTAATAAGCGTATAAGTTGCAAAAGAAAACAATGTTAATGTACACTATCAGCTTTCAATTCGAATACCTGCCAACCCCTTGGAAGCGCCCCGCCCGCCCCGCCCGGGAAACCCGCGGCGCCAAGTGGGATTGGGCCCGGGAAGTCCTGGGCCCTCTTGGCCTCCAGCCCGAACCCCGCCAGCTGGGAGACCCCCGAAGGCGAGGGTGGGAAAGAGGAGCGGGCGCCCCCTGCTGCCGGGCGAAGCGGCTCGAGTCCCGCATTCCGGAGGGCACCCTCTGGGTTCCCGTGCCAGCCCCTCCAAGGGGAGCCCTGGGCAGCCCCGTCTGAAGTTGGGGGGCCAGGGGTTTGCGCCACGAAGTTGGCTGCGCAGGCAAATGTCCCAGTGGGAAGCAGCTCCCTTTCGGCTGCGCCCCGCTGCCTCTCCCGCCCCCGTCCAGGAGGCCGAGCGCAGCCCGGGAAGCGGCGCCGAAAGAGCGCAGCCCCGACGTACCTGGAACAGCGACGCCGAGACCCTGGCCCCCCGCCCCGGATCCGGACTCGGCCAGGCGCGCCCTTCGCTCTCCTTCTCGCGGCTCCGACTGTTTCCTGTTTCGAGGGGGCGGGATGCCCCGGGGAGGCGGGCGGGCGGGCGGGCGGGCAGGTGAGCGCCGCGAGGAGAGCCGCGCCCCGCCTCGGAAAACACGGCCGTGGGGCCGGGCCGGGAGTTCAGCGGAGAGACTTGGAAGCTGGAAGCGTCGAGTTCGACGGCCCCCGAGGCTCCCCTCGCCCACCCCCGGCCCGCGGGGGCTCGAGCCCGGACTCCGCGGGCGACGCCGCCGTCGCAGCAGCACAAGCTCCGAGGGCCCCTCCGTCGCGCCCCGACCCGCCCCTCGGAGGAGTCTCGGAGCGAACGTCCTCCCCGCGTGGAAACGGACCCTCGGCTCGAAGGGGCCCCCGCTTCTGGGCGCTGAGCCTGGGAAACGGGGCTGGAGTTTCTGCGACTCTGCCTGGACCTCCGAGGAAGCGGAATGGCGGAAGACTCAGGACAGATGAAGAAAAGACTGCTTCATGCCGCGCAGTTGAACCGCGGAACTCCCTCCCACGAGAGACAGTCCCATCCTCTTTTAAAGCCAACGTGGATTGGATCTGAGGCATCTGATCAAGGCCTGTATTTTAAAATGAGGTTAAAGATATATTTGCAAATGTTTGTATGTTTCATGCCAGGCAGAAACCAGCTGGCTAAGTACTTTGGCAGTTGTTTATCCTCCTGCTCTCCTGAACAAGCCCCCCCCCCCCATTAATAGCAGTAGCAGGAGACAAGTTTCTCAAAGTTGTAAAAGGGAATTACAGGCCGGGAGCAAATGTTACACTGACCCTACATATTACAGTATACAATCAAGCTGCAAAAACACTAATTAAGAGTTGGTAAATAGTAAGATTTATTGTTTAACAGAAAATAGTACCATGTGCCTCCCATCAGACTCTAGCCATATTTTCCTAAGGTTTAAGGTATACTGAGAGAGTTAAAGGGCAATAAATTTTGGGAAGAGCTAATGGGAAAAGCAGCTGGCTGGGAAAGGAGGGTGTAAACTGAAGAGGCTTCTTTTGAAGCTGTTTTTACTGAGTTCCTTTTTACTTTGCAAAGGCCTTTTCTTCTAAAAAGCTATCTATGTTATGTATGAGATTTGTTGGCTTAATGTAATTATGCAAAGGATTTAGAAAGTAAGAAATGTTACGATTCTTATGTTAGATTCTTATTTCATTGATGTTGTGTGAGAATGTGAACCCAAGATCTCTGTTTAGACAGAATTTAATACCATGAGCCATTTGTTTTAGCCATTTGTTTTGGAATGCAGGGGCAAAAGGTGATCTGGTAATTAAGGTGCCTTGTCGAGGCAAATGTAAGATATATGGCTACTTGTCTGCCATTTATGGATAGAAGGAAATATAGCTCTTTGTCTCCCATAAAAGGTAATAGGAAATGGGTGTATCTTTTATGATTGGTTTTAGCAAACAGCCAATAGGAATTTCAACCAGGCTGATTGGACAGAGGCAGCCAAAGGAGGAGCAAGGGGGCTGGGCTGAGGAAATATAAGTGCTGGCCATCAGGGCTGGAAGGGGGGGCAGAGCTTTGGTAACCATATACCACTGTGCCTATCATTTATTTGTCTGACAAATAAATTATTATTTTAATTTCTCTATTGCTGCGTTGAATATTTCATTCCAGCTAAGCGTTAACCACAAGCAGGGTGCTACAGATCGATTCATGGAGGACCAGACCAAGTGACTCGTAGCCACGAGGGCGAAGCTCCGCCGCAGCGGGAGTCCGTCGGCTTCCCAATTCCAGTTTCCACGGCTGGCTCCTGTGAGAATGGGGCTGGTCTGATCCGACAGCGCTATTCCGGTGTTCTGTTAATTCTACATACTCATGGTCTCTGCTTCTGGAAGTGGCTAGCTCACTCTGTATATAACCGTTCCACGCAGTGGGAATCAAAGCAAACACAAAACTACACCCTGGGAAGGGAACCTAGATGGCAGTGCTTTTTTTTTCTTAAAAAGGGGTACTCTTATTTTCCTACTCATATTGAAATACTGCCCCTCAATGAGGGCAAACTTAGATTCACAAAACATTTAGGGGTATGCGTACCTCTGTGTCCCCCCCCCAAAAAAAGCACTGCTAGGTGGAATCCCCACACATAAAAATCATTTTGAAAATGCTTTTAAAATACATTGAATTTTCCATAAGGCTCACCATCGTCATCTAGTGTCACATTGCATATCACACTTAAACCACAAAACAATTTATTTGGAGCTGTATAGCTGAGCTGCTAAACAAGATCAATGGGGCAGAATAAATTTGGAACAAATCGTTATGTGTAATTATTTATTCAAGGCATGGAGGCCTCCAAAGAGTCTGAGCCTAGAAACTATATAGGAGCCCTAAGGCACAGCTGAAGGGGGGGGGGAGGAGTTTCCCCACACACTGATCATAAACTAACTCCCTATGCACAATCCCTGTCCTCCATTTTCCCAGAGTACGGATCTCACCCAGAGAGTGTGTGTACCTTTGGGCTCTTGAATACTATCCTGATATTTCTTCTTGATGTTCATTCCAAATGCCTGAATAACATTGTGCAACCGAGGTGGCACTGACTGCCACAGACCTTTTTCTGTAACATTGGCCAAAGGTTTAATGTTTCTGCCTTACAATTTTTTTCTCTTCCTCTCCCTGGCTCAGCAAGAGCGTAATTTCCTTGAGAGACCTCCTCTTATTGTGTTTGCTCAAGGTTTGGCACAATAACCTCTACTGAGGTTACCTATTACATATATGCATTAGTCACAATTAGAACATTTTCCAATTTGAGAGCAGCGAGTTCTGTTTGAAGCAACAAAACAACTACAGTGGTACCTCGGGTTAAGAACTTAATTCGTTCTGGAGGTCCGTTCTTAACCTGAAGCACCACTTTAGCTAATGAGGCCTCCTGCTGCCGCCGCGCCGCCGGAGCACAATTTCTGTTCTCATCCTGAAGCAAAGTTCTTAACCCGAGGTAATATTTCTGGGTTAGTGGAGTCTGTAACCTGAAGCGTATGTAACCCGAAGTACCATTGTAGTGAATATAAGACCTGGATGGTGCAAGTCAGAGTTCCAGCTTGAATCACTGACAACCAGTAACAGTCCAGTGATCACAAGATTTGACTCACAGTTGTAGTTTTGGTAAGCTTACTACTGCTTAATAATGATCAGTCTCAAGGCGATTTACAGTTAAAAAGTTAAAAACATGAAAACACCAAATGTATGTTAAACAAGACTAAAGTCCTAGTAAAGTAGAGACCAATTTTTCTAGTTGTTGTAAAAAAAATGCTTTTGATTGCTTCTGGAAAGTGCAGATTGTGGGCACCTTTCTTATCTCAACATAAATGCTCTTCCACACAACAGGGACAGGCATTTCTACTTGTTATTTGGGACAAAAATTAGAGCTATTAAAAATTAAGGTCATTTTTATCCATTTCACTATAATGGGGAATCTAAAAATGGCTTTAACTTTTTTCTTGTTACAGAAGTGAATGAAATTTGCAATCATAGCCACTTCCCTCATAAATTTAGCATATCAAATGGTTGAAGGCAGATACACCCAGATTTTTTGTGCAGGGCAGCTTTAAAGTTTGCTTGTTATACAAATGACAAGTCTTTTAACTTCCCATTTTGTCAGAATTGGATGCTATTTGCAGGCATAGCCCTCCTTCTGAGGGGATGAAGTGTACCAAATGCCAGACTCATAACTGCAGTATCTCCCACAGGGGAGGGCTTTGCCAGTGTAAGGGATACAATAGGAATGGTGGGGGGGGGGGAGGGGGGAAGAGCATGGATCCCCAGGAAACAATGTGGTGAGGAAAATATCACTCTCTAGCAATTACCTTTTAAACCCAAGCGTTGGGGGTGGGGGGGAGGCTTCTTTCACCAATGTAATTTGGCTGATACAGCCTCCATCTCCTGGGAGAGGTCTCCACAAGCCTTGCAAAGGAGAAAGAGGGTGGTGGGGAAAATACCATTGAGCCCCAGGAAAGATTGGCTAAATGTCACCCACACAACACACCCCCTGTGCTAAGGGCCCTCTTATTCCAAGAGTCACTTGGGGATGTGAGCTTCAGCATTTTGGGAGGTAGAATGGAGATCTCCATTGACTTGCACAGGGGAAGAGAACAGATTCATGTGAAAAATAGTTTATAACCCCTCCAAATTTCTGCGGTTGGAGTGCTCCAAGAAAATAATTCAGTGATTAATGGCCAGACCTGTCCATCAAAAGTTTATTTTTAAAAACTATTCTCATTGGTTCTTCCTTTTTCTTCCCTCTTGTTTTATTTTTGCATGCTTGAAGAGACCATTCTAGAGAACAGCAGAATTGGCATAGTTCATAATCTGTAAAAATAGTCAGAAGCATAGTTCCATTTTCAGACTGAGAGTTGTTACTAGCCAGAGCTGCCAAATGTCTTCTGAAAATCCAGGCTGCCCCGCTGCACTCTGGAGGCTTCGCGTTGCTTTCGCTGAAGCCAGGAGAGCAAGAGGGGTCGGTGTGCACCGACCCCTCTTGCTCTCCTGGCTTCGCTTCGCTGGAGAGGCGCTGCGCAGCTCTCCCTCTCTGCGCAGCGCCCCTTCAGTGAAACGGGAGGAGAAATGGAAGGGGCTCCGCTTCTGCCGCTTCGCTGAAGGGGCGCTGCGCAGAGAGGGAGAGCTGCTTGGGCTTGCCAATCATAAGGCTGGCAGTTCAAATCTGTGCAACAGGGTGAGCTCCCTTTGCTTTGTCCTAGCTCATGCCAACCTAGCAGGACCTGCGCCAGTAGCAATTTAGTCCTGCTGGCCACATGACCTGGAAAAGTCGCGAACAAACGCTGACATCCTCGGCTGGAAAGGGGAGATGAGCGCCACACCTCATAGTTGATTTTGACTGAACTTAACCGTCCAGGGGTCCTTTACCTTACCTTTTACACTGCTAAACCCACCATTCTGACAAGTGTTTAAGTGTTAATCCACTAATTCCTAGGAAAGTAACAAGGACTCAACTTTTAATACTTCTGTATGTGAAATAGCCAGGCAGATATTATGCTTCAGTTGGAACTAAACCCCTACTGACAAATTCACTTTCAGGAATGCTATTGGAGGGATCAAAGCAGAGTCCACGGATAGGTTATTGCCCAGCTATGTGGTGGGACATAACACGATGGACTGGGCTTGCTGCTTCAGTCAGCCAATCACCTGCTCCCACTACTGCAGTGGCGGCTGACACCAGTATTCCAAAACAGGTATTCTACTCGGCTTCCGGTGCCAGTCTGCCTTAATGGATGCCGCTCCTACGACAGTGGGAGATTGTTAGCAAAGGTAAACAAGGATTGAGGGTAACTGTCCTTCTAAGTTCCCCCCAGGGCCCAGGGGGAATGGGCTTCACTCGCAGATCGTCTCAATACCTTTCGCTCCAACAAGGAATGTGGGAGCAGGGAGACGCTGAATGCAAAAAGCACTTTGCCTATTGGTAACCCTCCATTACGCCATTAAGAAGCAGAGGTTCTTCTGTTCATTAAAAGATTAATTAGGATTAATGTACAGACGCTTGCTGGAGGAGTTGGGACAAGATTACAAATTGCTGAAATGATACAGCTGCGAGGTCGTTAAGATTTGAATCTGAAGGAAGACTTCATTCAGTGTGAAAACAGTATGTGGGGGTGGAGCCTAAAAATGGATTCCTAATATTTTCTTTATGCAAATGACTTGGTAAACTCCCCAGAAGTCAATTAAAAATTTTAAGAAAACAAGGGAAGATAAAAGCGGACTAAATTATATTATGGAGTACCAAAGAGAGAGAGAGAGAGAAAGAGAACTGCATGTAAGGAAAATAAAACAAAGAAAATAATCTTAAATGGATATGGAACTAACAAGCTGGTCTGAGCCAACTACCATATTGGCCCGAATAGAAGCTGCACCTTTAAAATTGGAAGGGGGAAAAGAAAAAAGACCTGAATATAAGCTGTTCCATTCCTCGCTGCTCCTGGCTGCATACTGGTGGCGGGGGGGGGGGGGAGCTGCACTGCGTTGCCAGCGGCGTTTCCCCTTCCTGGCTCTCTCCCTGGCCTTCGGGGAGAGGATGGGGATTACACACAGGACGGGCACTGCTTTCCTGCGCTGCTGACGCTGTTTGCCCCACGCTCCTGGCTGCATACTGTAAGGTTGCGAATATAAGCCACACTTGTACTTTTTATGGTCGGAATTTGGGGGGAAAGTGAGGCTTATATTCAGGCCAATACAGTATTTGGTGAGAAGAAGAGAAGGTTGTTATCTTGGAATGTAAGAGAAATTGGATTTTGGAGATGCACCAAGACTTTGGCAGGGCACCATCTTTATCTGTATGGGCAAAGAAAGGGAAATTGGAGACCCGTTAGAGCTCTGGCGGGGTTCCAGTTAATTCTTTCCCCAGGCTGAAGCACATATATTGTAATCATAATTGAGAGAATGACTGGATGAACACAGAACTTTTTGCGAAGAAAAAAAATGAACAAATAATTATTGCACGCAGGACGAAGGGATATAGATATTCACTTGTGGATTAATAAATTACTGAATATGTTAATACGAATGGAAGTCACAAACTGCAGCTGTTGAACAAGGGCCTATGATTAAGATTGGAATACAACTGGAATAAATAAGACTTTGGAAGCAGGGGGGGGAAAAAGAATTACTGAACCTGTAATCCAGCAAGTGGGAGGCCATCCAAATTATATAATTTGTTATTTGATTGTGATTACGATTTGATATGCATATCATGAGGTTTGCTTTAGAGTTTTGTAATTGAAAACTACTAAAAATTATTGACAAAAAAAGAAAAGAAAAAAGAACAGGTATTCTACTCTTACAGGTATTCCACTGGGCTGGCAAGCCTAATATAAATATCGCAATCCTACAAGTATACTACCACTTTGCAGAAATGGTTTTCAGCATTATCAATGTGGTTTCAATATTTGGTTATGGAGAATAATGCAGTTTAGAAAAAGACCTGAATGCAGCCAAGAGAGAGCTTAGTACAATAGTTGTCTTCAATAGGACATCCAAATGCCCTCCTTAATTCTAGCTAAAAGGCTGGGCAGCAATGACTGTGTCTGCAATCCAAACGAGGATGGAAGATACCTGAACACATTAAGAAACCAGGCGGCAGCAGGGTGGGAATTGTTTTCACATTGTTGCAGAGTAAAAGTGAGTTTACAGACATCCTGCAGAATTTAAAATTGGATTAACACATTTACAAAAAAGGGGAAGACTATGTGTCAAAGTTCAAAGTCTTTGAATTCTTTGCGATAGATATTATCAAGAATGTTTTCTTCCAGCATGTGCTAGAGCTGATAAGTCTAATTTGGTTTCTAATGCAACAGAAAATTCCATTGCAAGTAGTTCATGAAGAGAGATTCCATCATGAGAATAAACCCAGTTTTTTCCAGTCCAGTCATAACGCTTCGGGCCACTGTGAAAGAACAAACAAGAACATGACTGAGAACATGACATCCTATGCCCTTTTGGGGGGGGGGTTGCTATTGGGTGGTTGTTTTTATTTTGATTATATATATTGTGGTTTTGTATTATGATTTTGTTGTGTGAACTGCCCTGAGACCTCCTGGTATAGGGCAGTATATAAATTCAATTAACAACAACATTTAAATATCAACCAAATATGACAAAAGGAAGGGTGTGCATGCTGGAAATGGGTACTTGGAACTCCCACAGCTATTTGCATTAAGTTATGACACAATATGATCTATGGTGTGATTGAAAGCCAACTGGTTGGCATGAGGTGAATTAGGGCAAAGAAAAATCAATCTATTTCTAAAAGGTTGGAGTTGGCTTCACAACTTTAACATACATGCCACTGAAGTTCTGGGGCAGTCCTGACTGTGGCACCAGCTAGAGATGAAAAAATTCAGCCCCCTGACAGCTCCTGACCGTAGGAGAGTTAGCTATTCTGCTGGTCCAAAAGGCCTTGGTGCCTTCCCTGCTTCTCCTGACACCCCACAGCCACCACAGGAGCTCTGTGCTAAAACGGGACACTTGCTTTAGGTTTCATTCATTCCTGATGGTCCAATCCTCACGATGGCCCACCTGAATTAGCCTCACTTTATTAAACAGCAGTCAGAAAATTGTGTTGTCGTTTTCTGTAACATACTAGAAAGTAAATACTCTAATTTTCCACATCCTAACACTGGCTTAGGTATGTTTTAATATTTTATTTATTCATTTAAAACATTGTCTGCTCTTCACTGCACAACAATATGGTATCTGTCAGCTCAGCATTCCAGAGACGCAGTGCAGGATCAGTGCTCCCCATGGACGGTGCATCAGAGGGTGTCACTCACTGACCAAAAGCCTAGGTTCAATGACTAGCACTGCAAAATAGAGAAAGTCATACAAATAGTTCCAGGGGCTGTGGGGGAAAATAATCACATACTGTATCACCGAAGCAGTTGTCAGCCTGACTAGCACCTGATATTGACTGCCTGGGAAATCCGTACAAGCCATTCTGAGTCTCCAAAGTGCATGCAACTAATAAAGCTGAGGTAGGAGATCTTTTAGTTCAATTGTAAAATTTCTAGAACATTCTAACAAACAGACATTTGCTTACCTGCTTGGAGAGGACAGCCATATCTGTTTGTTTGGTGTCTGTTTGTTGATCACATATGTTCCCATGCTTCCACCCAATTTAACTGTTAATACTCCAGTCTACAGAATAAATTGGGAGCGGGGAGAGAAAACAAAACAAAACAAGCTATCTGTAAGAACTTGCAATATATTTATATAAGCAGAAATCTCAGGGTCTGGCAAGTAATAATTGATTAGGATTTCACAACTAAAACATGAGAGCAAAAATGATTAAATAACCTATTTTTTCAAATAAGTGCAAATAAACTATTATTACTTCTCATCCAAACTGAATTTTGCATTTCTACATTTTTCTGTGCTGTAAAGCCATACTCTCAAGAATAAGGATTGGGGGGGGGTATCTATATCTCCTCCCCTCTCTATATACCAGTATATGAGTATGAATAACATAACGTTCCATAGGATGACCAAATGATACTGCAAATGGATTGCCTGGTTTTTCTCTAGAAACCAACTTGATTCACATTCTTTGTTTCCAGTTTCTGTTTGGGAATCCAGTCCACAAGGTAATGGACTGAAACAAATAATTCAGAGGTGGAAAACTGTGTCTAGGTAAATTTTAATGACTTAAAAACAAAACAAAAACAGAAGTGCAGGAATATGGCACCTGTCAGGGGTTCAGGGACAGAGGCACAGGGTAGGGAGGAGATGGAGAGCGATGGGGATGAATCCCAGGACAGCGAGGAAGAGGATGACAATGACTCAAGAGATTCCATGAGTCTTTCCAGCGAATCAGAGGATTCCCAGAAGGGGCGCCAGTGGTCAAGGCCAGGGAGCCCCAGGGGGACGTGTCAGGAACAGGGGCCAGCGGGGATCCCAAAGTGGCAGCTGGGCGTCAGGACCAGCCTCCCCGCCAGAGTGCAGCGAAGGGGTGGAGGTTCCAGTGTATCAGGGAAGCAGCTCCGGCAGCAGAGAAGGGAGGGAGGTCGGAGCAAGCCACCCTCCCGGAAGGGACGGGGAGTAGTGACGGGCGTAGGGTAACTGTCAAAAGGAAAGGTCGAGGTTGGGCGCGCGCGCAGGTTCAAATGTAGAGGCGCGCGGAAGTACAGGGAGCCCGGAGGAAGGGCCAGGTCCTAAAGCCCGCAGGAGTGGGGAAGAGCAGTCGGGGGATAGCGCGTCAGGGGAATCCAGGAGGGGCGAAACCCCGGCGGGCAGGAAGACCCTGAGGAAAAGGAAAGAGAGAAAGAGGTGGAGCAGCGCAAGGCTCTTAAACTGGTGCAGGGGAGGGACTGACTCAGAGGGGACTTCAACGGTCTAAGCGTACAGACGTGAGGCTGCGCGCCTCGGATATGAAGCAAACAATGAACTGCAATAAACACTTTTGTATATAAGAAGAGATTGGCGTTGGTCTTTTGTGAGCTGAGACCTGAGGCAGCCTTGACAGCACCTTTTTCAGATGGCAGTTTCCCCAACGGGACCCTCTTTCAGGGATCTTATTCCTATGAGAAGCGGGCCAAAGACAGAAACTGGCAAAGAAACGAAGGTAGTTCAGCCTTTGTACACCAGGCTCGTTTCTATACGCCCCACCCTCCATCCTGGCAGCCAAGAGACATTAGGACACGTTAGCCAGGCCAACACACTCAAGGCTGTGGCTGGGGAAAAGGCTGGGCAGGGAGGGTGGGGTGGCCTGGGAAAAGTCCCAAGGGCCACAGAGAGAAATCTGAAGAGTGGCCCTTGGGCCCCAGCCCAACTGTAGGGGATTGCCAACGAGTGTGTGTGTCTCAAACCTACAGCTTTATACTTTTGATGAATTGTCCAGTCACCAAATTTTATCTCTGGAATGTTCTTATTCAGAAAGGCAGGGATTTCTTTCAGGCTGCATGTCTATATTGCACAGCATTGTCTAAGGGATTTTCTATTCATTAAGCTCCCAGGAGCATAGAATCATAGAGTTGGAAGAGACCACAAGGGCCATCGAGTCCAACCCCCTGCCAAGCAGGAAACACCATCAGAGCACTCCTGACATATGGTTGTCAAGCCTCTGCTTAAAGACCTCCAAAGAAGGAGACTCCACCACACTCCTTGGCAGCAAATTCCACTGTCAAACAGCTCTTACTGTCAGGAAGTTCTTCCTAATGTTTAGGTGGAATCTTCTTTCTTGTAGTTTGGATCCATTGCTCCGTGTCCGCTTCTCTGGAGCAGCAGAAAACAACCTTTCTCCCTCCTCTATGTGACATCCTTTTATATATTTGAACATGGCTATCATATCACCCCTTAACCTCCTCTTCTCCAGGCTAAACATGCCCAGCTCCCTTAGCCATTTCTCATAAGGCATCGTTTCCAGGCCTTTGACCATTTTGGTTGCCCTCCTCTGGACCCGTTCCAGTTTGTCAGTGTCCTTCTTGAACTGTGGTGCCCAGAACGGGACACAGTACTCCAGGTGAGGTCTGACCAGAGCAGAATAAAGTGGCACTATTCAAATGCCAAGCATTCGATTAGCATTCCTTTGTGTTTTTCACCATGTTATTTGGGAGACCAACTTCAATGTTTTCATGGTTCATTTTCTTAGTTCCAAGTGTTAACATTTTAGAAATTTGGAACTTCACAGCAAATGGTCTAAGCCTGTTAGGTACGTGGCCTTTTGGACTTTACTCTCTGCCCTGTCTGTTGTCCTTTCCTTTCCTGTGTCAGGTGTTGACAGGCATGAGCTCTGAAGCAGGAAGGCCTCACCTCCAGCTAAGAAGAGGAAGGGGCAGCAGACAGGACTGCAGCTGGTGAACTGAGTCCTAGGAGGTTGCCTCAAGAATGTGTCCCCAAATGTGCAATGCAATTAAGTTTTGAAAAGCATGGGCCCTGCTTCCACAGTTCTTGACTGAACCTGCACCACTCTAAAAAAGAAAGGCTCCTGAGATATAATTAAGAGTAATTCAGATATTAAATCCCCACACTTATTATCCTTACACAATCTTACATGGTTAAATTTGGCTTGGCTGCCTGCCTTCCTTTTAAGCTCAGACTTTGTTTAGACTACACCAAGTGTTTAGTATGACTGGGCACGGTCTCGCTTGTCGACTACGCTTTGACTGTTTTATCTTGTTCTGGGTTTTACTGTCCTTAAATTGATTTTACCTTGAGCTGTTACTGAAGTCCTTTTTAGGGCCAAACAGTAGCTTGGAAATGTCTTTATAAAATAAACAAAATGGTAAACTACTTCAATGTCAACTGAAAGCTTTCTAGACTTTACGTTATTTCATAGCAAAAGCAGCATTCCAGCATGCTTTTCCTGACAGCTATATCATATAATACATTCCCAAACAGCTGTTACTGTATTACCAGTATCATGCTAGATACCATATGTTGTACTGTAAATAGACCTAACCCATCAACACATTACTTCTAATTTTAAAAATGTGCAAACCACACAAACAAGCATTTGACATCATTTCATAGCATATGGCGTTTGTCTGTGCCACGTTTACAGAAACACTATAACCATGAAGTTTTTAGAGATAATTAACCAAATGCTCATTGTAGTTTTTCGTTATATATCACACACATGAGAAAAAGTATTTGCTGTACTAAAAGGTAAAGGTAAAGGACCCTTGACAGTTCTGGGGTTGCGGCGCTCATCTTGCTTTACTGGCCGAAGGAGGCGGCGTTTGTCCGCAGACAGTTTTTCCGGGTCATGTGACCAGCATGCTAAGCTGCTTGTGGCAAAACCAGAGCAACACACGCATGGAAATGCCATTTACCTTACTGCTGGAGCAGTATCTATTTACCGTATTTTTCGCTCCATAGGACGCACTTTTTCCCCTCCAAAAATGAAGGGGAAATGTGTGTGCGTCCTATGGAGCGAATGCAGGCTTTCGCTGAAGCCTGGAGAGGGAGAGGCATCGGTGCGCACCGACCCCTCTCGCTCTCCAGGCTTCAGGAAGCTATCCGCAAGCCTTGCAAGCCCGGTGGGAGTTCCCGCGGGCTCACAAGGCTTGCAGGCAGCAGCCTGCAGCCCCGGCGAGTGTCCGCAAGCCTTGCGCGCCCGGCAGGAGGTCCCGCCGGCGCGCGAGGCTTGGGGCTGCAGCTGTCGCCCGAGCACGGGGAGCCCTCCGGAGGGCTCCCGTGCTCTGGCGAGTGTCTGCAAGCCTTGCGCGCCCGGCAGGAGGTCCCGCCGAGCGCGCGAGGCTTGGGGCTGCAGCTTGTCGCCCGAGCACGGGGAGCCCTCCGGAGGGCTCCCGTGCCTGGCGAGCGTCTGCAAGCCTTGCGCGCCCGGCGGGAGGTCCCGCCCGGCGCGCAAGGCTTGGGGCTGCAGCTTGTCGCCCGAGCACGGGGAGCCCTCCGGAGGGCTCCCGTGCTCGGGCGAGCGTCTGCAAGCCTTGCGCGCCCGGCGGGAGGTCCCGCCCGGCGCGCAAGGCTTGGGGCTGCAGCTAGTCGCCCGAAGCACGGGGAGCCCTCCGGAGGGCTCCCGTGCTTCGGGCGAGCGTCTGCAGCCTTGCGCGCCCGGCGGGAGGTCCCGCCCGGCGCGCAAGGCTTGGGGCTGCAGCTTGTCGCCCGAGCACGGGAGCCCTCCGGAGGGCTCCCGTGCTTCGGCGAGCGTCTGCAAGCCTTGCGCGCCCGGCAGGAGGTCCCGCCCGGCGCGCAAGGCTGGGGCTGCAGCTTGTCGCCCGAAGCACGGGAGCCCTCCGGAGGGCTCCCGTGCTTCGGGCGAGCGTCTGCAAGCCTTGCGCGCCCGGCGGGAGGTCCCGCCCGGCGCGCAAGGCTTGGGGCTGCAGCATGTCGCCCGAAGCACGGGAGCCCTCCGGAGGGCTCCCGTGCTCGGGCGGCGTCTGCAAGCCTTGCGCGCCCGGCGGGAGGTCCCGCCCGGCGCGCAAGGCTTGGGGCTGCAGCTTGTCGCCCGAGCACGGGGAGCCCTCCGGAGGGCTCCCCGTGCTTGGGCGAGCGTCTGCAAGCCTTGCGCGCCCGGCGGGAGGTCCCGCCCGGCGCGCAAGGCTGGGGCTGCAGCTTGTCGCCCGAGCACGGGGAGCCCTCCGGAGGGCTCCCCGTGCTCGGGCGAGTGTCTGCAAGCCTCGCGCGCCCGGTGGGAGGTCCCGCCGGCGCGCGAGGCTGGGGAGGTAGCCTGCAGCCCGAAGCACGCGAGGCTTGGGGCGGCAGCCGCGGGGGGGGGGATAATTTTTTTTATTCATTCCCCCCAAAGCAGGTGCGTCCTATGGACCGGTGCGTCCTATAGAACGAAAAATACGGTATCTACTTGCACTTTGACGTGCTTTCGAACTGCTAGGTGGGCAGGAGCTGGGACTGAGCAATGGGAACTCACCTGTCATGGGGATTCGAACTGCTGACCTTCTGATCGGCAAGCCCTAGGCTCTGTGGTTTAGATCACAGTGCCACCTGTGTCCTATTTACTGTGCTAATGAATGTTAAATAAATCAAGGTAAGCTCCCAGGACAGGTGAGAGAACAGTCACACATGGATTCCTAAATGCTACTGGAAATATTTAGATATGCTTTTATCTCTATCACAAGCAAGCTGAAACTGTGGTTTCAGCTATTTTCCAGTTGTGCCACCTTGTGGTCCTACCATTCCACTAGCTCTTTATGAGAACAGAGTTTCTTAAACAGCCGGGAAAGAAATGCTTAGAATCATAGAAGTATAGAACTGGAAGGAACTCTCAGATCATCCAGTCCAACCCGCCCCCCCGCAGTGCAGGAATATGCAGGAGTCTCATACAGGGAAGCTTTCTTATACCCAGAAATTATTTATGGTACTGTCTAAAGTGAAGTTGAGACTATAGCAAAAACACCTGTAAAAATAAGTAAAATAAAATTGTTGTTGTTTAGACGTTTAGTCGTGTCCGCCTCTTCGTGACCCCCTGGACCAGAGCACGCCAGGCACTCCTGTCTTCCACTGCCTCCAGCAGTTTGGTCAAACTCATGCTGGTTTGTCCCACTGTCCCACCATCTCGTCCTCTGTCATCCCCCTCTCCTTGTGCCCTCCATCTTTCCCAACATCAGGGTCTTTTCCGGGGAGTCTTCTCTTCTCATGAGGTGGCCAAAGTATTGGAGCCTCAGCTTCACGATCTGTCCTTCCAGTGAGCACTCAGGGTATTCTTGCCACCTCTTCTTGATGTCTTCTGCTTCTGTTAGGTCCTTTTGTTCTTTATTATGGTAATCTTTGTACAAAATGTTCCTTTCATATCTCAAATTTTATTGAAGAGATCTCTGGTTCTTCCCATTCTGTTGTTTTCCTCTATTTCTTTGCATTGCTCGTTTAAGAAGGCCTTCTTGTCTCTCCTTGCTATTTTTTGGAAATCGGCATTCAATTTCCTGTTTCTTTCACTATCTCCCTCACATTTTGCTTGCCTTCTCTCGCCCGCTATTTGTAAGGCCTCATTGGACAGCCACTTTGCTTTCTTGCATTTCCTTTTCATGGGGATGGTTTTCGTTGCTGCCTCCTATATGTTACGAGCCTCCATCCATAGTTATTCAGGCACTCTGTCCACCAAATCTAAATCCTTAAACCTGTTCCTCACTTCCCTGTGTATTCATAAGGGATTTGATCTAGATTGTATCTTACCGGCCCAGTGGTTTTTCCTACTTTCTTCATAAAATAAAATACTATAGTATAAAATAAAATACTATACCGAAAATGAGACATCATAATCTTGAGGAGTAAAGGGCTTGTCTGCCAGCTCCTCAAAGAAATCTGTTAATGACTCCAGAGTTTCTTCAGCAAGTTTTTCATACATAGTTTCATCTATTGAGCTGTAAAAGTCAGGTAAAGAAAGAGTTACTCAAATTTTATACCATTAAATCAAAATATTATCAGTGCAAAACAAGAAATCCCAAAAAAGAACACAGTAACTTGAGGATGTTTGTTACCGACACATACTAGTGTAGGAAACATTTCTGAAGTTGCAATAAAAAAGAAAAATTAGGTATGTATAGCCCAGAAATTTTATTCGGCTGAACCTTAATTCACCACACACTGTAACTTCCATTCATTAGACAGTCCTCTGATTAAGGAACTTTAGGCTACAATTCTGACCCCACTTCTCTGGAAGTAAGCCCACTGAATTTATTATGACTTACTTTTGAATAGATACAGTTAGGTTTGCATTGTTGGTCAATTAATTGATTACATCTGCATACATTTAGACATTGATTTGTCTGTCTTGTCCGTTTTTGTTTCTTTTCTATATGTTTGGCCCTCTCTTGAGAATTTGTTACCAAACTTGACAGCAGGCTTCACTGCCATTTGGACACTGGTTCTGTCATAGCTGGCTCCCTCTGGCTGGCTAGCCTTTGGGCTCCATTTTCCCTCCCCGTTCCCTCCAGTGACAGAACAGTGCCAGCCTTGGTGCTGCCCCTGAACCATGGAGTCCCACTCCCTGCTTTTCCTCTCCGGTTGCTTCCCCGCAGCTCATCTCAGCCAATGGCAGAACAGTGCCAGGAGGCAGACATCACCGGTAAGGACCACCCAGAGCTTTAAGAAACAGCACAGAGATCACGCAGCAAAAAGCATCCCTCCCTCCATAGCCCAGCCATCCTTCCTTATTTCAGACATCAAGATATAGCAGCATATCATGATGATTAGCTGGTGATCTATCATGATGTTGAAAATCAGATATTGCCCAGCCCTAGATGACATCTGGCTTAATTTGAAGGAACCCTTCCCCTTTTTATTCTTACGATATTTTCATAGCAAAAGTACTAATGGATGTTTCCATTCATTTTAGTAAAGCTTGTGTAGTTTTCCAGTGGTTTGCACCCTAAAGATGTGCAGTTAGGCTACCTGGACACCTGTTTGAGGCCTAAGCCCACTTTCCACAATATGCATGTCCCGTGGTTTTGTCTAAATTGTGGCTCCATCCCAGTCTGCTCTGGTAACATGTGAACAAGCAAGATCATGCGGAAGACAACCACAACCTGCCTATTCCCACATCAGGAATGCTTGGGATGTAGGGAATAGGGAGTGGCACTTTCCAAATGCAAGAACCACCCATAAGTTGGCAACACAATGAGTGTTGGAGAACTTGGAAATGGATCCTCTTCACCTCTTAATCAGAGAGCGCTTACTCTCTTTACACGGCTAGTGGCTACTGATATTTCTCCCTCTTGGTGTTTACATGTTTTATTGACTAAAGTTAAGAAGTGGGCTGATGCGACTGTTCTAGTAAAGGTTATCTGGAGGAACTGAAAGCTTGCAGCTCTTCCATTCTCTTGCTACATGAATTAGTTAAACAAGCCTGTCTCCACCATACTGAGAGTAAACAAGGCATTCCTAGGAACGGCTACAAAAGAAGAAAACAAAGGTCTGGTCACGTGTGAAAGTGCTGGATGCTGTGGCATTTTAAGATAAATTTGTTGCATATGTAATGACACTATTATTCACTTTAAATGATTCAGCTTTACCAACTAATATCCCAACACAGATCCCATGCGCATGGCTTTGGTTTCGATGGTTTCATTCTTCTGCAGTGACTGTTTCTGTCCTCAATATTGATCTCTGTTTGGGAAGTTCCCAGAGTTGGCAGGTGGCCAATTCTATATACAACGTACCTTTTGTCAATTCGAGTTCCTGCACTTCTTACGCATTGCAGTTGAGCACTCTTGGCTTTGACTTTGAGAACGCCATATAAACAATGTGGCTGCACATCCTGTGAAGAAATAAGTTTTAAGTACTTTTGTGGAAAATCATGTTCTTCAGCAGAAGGCTAAGTGCAAGGAGCACAACTTTCAGGCTTGTGTCCTCCCTGAGAGGATTCTGCTACATTCTGTTTTACGCTGTTTTATTTTGTGGTTAGGATTGTGTATATTTCTGCCATGGGAACCTCAGATGAAAACTGGATTATAAATGCTTTAATAATACATAATAATTACTTATTATTATAAGTAAACATACATACATATATATATATATATATATATATATACCGTATTTTTCGCTCCATTGGACGCAGTTTTTCCCCTCCAAAAATTGAGGGGAAATGTGTGTGCGTCCTATGGAGCGAATGCAGGCTTGTGCCATAGAGAGGCTGGTGCAGGCATGGAGAGGCTGCACGGGGCTATGGCTTCTTTAGCCCTGCGCAGCCTCTCCTGGCAGGGCGGGATTGCGCAGGGCTAAAGAGGAAGCCAAAGCAGCCAGTTGGATCCATCCCGCTTGCTGCCTTGGCTTGTTCCATAGCCGCGCACAACCCCTCCGGCAGGGAGAGGTTGTGCGCAGCCTGTACGCTGCTCTTTGGGGCTGGGGGGGGAAAAGATTTTTTTTATTGATTTCCCCGTCTAAAAACTAGGTGCGCCCTATGGTCCGGTGCGCCCTATGGTGCGAAAAATACGGTATATATATATATATATGTATATGTATATATGCGCCAAGTCCTCTGACCAGGAGTAGCATCATTTGTATTTCAAGTCCTTAGGCCATGCTGTTCCTTCCAGAAGCAAGCACATTCCTTCTCCCAACTTTTCTATCCGAGTTCATTTCCAGTTTTGTCCATGTATTCACCCCTTTGTTTAGCAAGATCTATATCCAGTGTGCAGGGCAGAGGGGCCACGCAAACGAAGGCCCCTCTCCCTTCGCACGGCTTGACTCTTTTGCCTGCTATCTTAGTGAGTCTTTTTCCATTTTGAAGGCCCGCTCCCTCAGCGAAGGCGGAGGACGAGCTCCGGAGACCCACCTTTCCTGCCCTCTTCCCTCCCTCCCATCTCTGCTTCAAGAGAAGCGCCCCCAAATCACACCGCCAGCGGCCGGCCTGTCCTTTCCCGGCTCCCCCCCCAACCTGCCAGCGGAGGGTCCCGGCGCCGTTTCTGGGCCCAAGGCGAGGGCTGCCGAGGCCGCCGGGCCCAGAAGGCCTCCCGAGCCCCGCCGGGAGCGGCCCAGGCGGCTCCTCCCGCCACGAGAGACCGAGGCCGGGCGGCCCTGCTGGGTGCGAGGGAGAAGCTCCGCGGGCCGGGCTCGCCGGAGGCCCTGCGCCGCTCCCCGGCGTCGCCCCTTCCGCGCGCCTTCCCTCCCAGGCCGAGGCCCAGCACTCACCGGCCGGCCCACCAGGAGCGCGAGGCCGCAGCCGCTTCTCCGGAAAGGAGGCGCTGTCGCCGCCGCCGCGGCCTCCTCCTGCCCCTTCCATCGCCCGCCGGCGCCTCCCCGCCGGCCCCAGGCCGCCGCCCGCGAGAAGAGCCGCCACATGAGCTCCTAAGGCGGCGCGCAGGAGGCTCGGGCTGGGGCGCGGCGCGGCTCTGCTGCCCCCTTCCTCCCGCCCTCAGCCCAAGCCTCTGCAGGCTCTCTCGAGAAATGGCCCGGAGCCCTGGCTGCCAGGGAATCGGGACCAGAACAGCCTCCAAGCGCCGCGCGGGAAACAGAAGGGCTCCTTGGGGGGGGGGGGGGCTGTGCTTTCTGCTCTTTTATCACTGTTTCTGTAGTTTGGCGTGTGGCAAATCGTGACAGCCGAAACTTACTGGAAGAAAGAAACGGGGGGCGGGTGGGGCAAAAGCAACCCCTTAGAGGCCGTTCGCTCTCTTCCTAGTTTCTTTGAGACAATTTTCTAATCAAAAAAACATTAAAACATTAGATGCAAATTACAACCTGCAGGCGTTAAGGTTTTGTTTCCCAAGCTCTCCTTCCTGCCCTCCTCTCCAGGTCTGTGGGCAGCTGGTTCCAGTCCAATGTAGTCATCATCTATTGTCTTTTTAGTATTATTAAAGATTGTCTTGTTTTACAGAAGTATGTGTAATGTCTCTCATATTTTTCCGTGTAACATTTTTACAAATCAGTTTCATTTGTTGAGACATTGGGGGGGGGGGGGAGGAAGATGGGGGGGTCGGGTGGCGATGTTTCTATTTTGCTTAATGTATGTGGGGTTTGGGGTCCGCGTTGCTTGTGCAGGTTCTCTGCTGTTCCCTTGTGTTTCTTCGGTGGTGAGAGAGGTTGGGGTTGGCCTAGGGTGTGGTTGTTCATTTGTGGTTGGCTGTGGTGATCTTTGTTTTCGTGTGTGAGTGAGGTGGGTGGGTGTTTTGGATCAGGTTAGCCATATTGATTTGTATGCTGTTGGTGGATTATTGTCATTGTCTTGTTGGGCCGTGTATGTGATAAAGGGGAACCATATGGGGGTAAAGGCGTCTTCTATTTGTCCCTGTGTCAGTTTCAGTTTATTGGTTAATTTTTCTAGTAGGGCTGTTTCCCATACTATTTGGTACCATTGGTCCATGCTTACTCCTGACAGCTCTCTCCTGTGTCTGGTTATGGTGTTTCTGGCTGCTGAGAGCAGGTGAGTTATGAGTTCTTTGTGGTGTGAGTGGGCATTATTATCTTGGAAGATGTTTACCAGGGCCAGTTCTGGGGTGATGTCTAATACTTGCTTAGTTATTTTACATATTTCTCGTATGGCTGTTGTCCAGAATAGTTGGATTTTGGGGCACTCCCACCACATGTGGAGGTATGTGCCTGTGGAGGTGCACCCTCTCCAGCATTTTGGTGAGGTTCTGGGCATATTAGCGCTAGTTTTCTTGGTGTTAGGTACCACCAGCAGGTGAGTTTCAGAGTGAATTCTTTTCTTTTCGTTGATATGGATTTAAAGGGAGGTTTAGACCACATTCTGGTCCATTGAGTGGGGATAATCTCATAGCCTATGTCATTCTCCCATTGTTTTTTGATTGCGTCTAGGGGGTTTGTGGGATTTTGGAGTAGTATTTTGTATATTGTGGATACCATCCCTTTACTGTTTCCCTTTGTTGTTAGGAGGAGGTTTTCGAAGGTTGTCAGGGGCCTAGTTGTTGCTGATTTTATAATTATAATTATATTGTATTATATTATATTAACCCCGCCCATCTGGCTGGGTTTCCCCAGCCACTCTGGGCCAAAAATACACTAAAATGTCATACATTAAAAACTTCCCTGATTTTACTGTTGGGTTGTTTAAGAGGACATGTAGTTGGTGTTGTGTTAACCAGGGCATTTGGGTGTCTTCTAGTTTGTCTTGTATTTCTTGTGTTGACAAAGGTTTGTTATTTTTATAGAAGTCTATTAGGCGATATAAGCCTTTGGTTTGCCAGGTTTTTATCTGAAGGTTTTGTGCTGCATGGTGGAATAATGGGTGGTACCCCAGGGGGATTAGTGGGGATGGGGTTGGGGATAGTTTGCCTATTTCTGTTTTCCATGCTTTGAGCATGGTCTGTGTGTATCTGTTCAGTGTTGTGGGAATTTTCTTTAGTTTGTTTGGGAGGAGTGGGTATGCTGTGGTGCAGGTATTTTCAAGTGTGTCCCTCTCTAGGTGTACCCATTGTTTTGTCTCATCTTCTAGTATATATGGGATTATATGGTGTATTTGGTTGGCAATGTAATATGCTTCTATGTTGGGGATTCCCCATCCTCCTTCTGAGGTGGGGAGGTGCAGGTATTTGGGGCTTATTCTTGGTTTTTTATGTGAGAAGATAAAAGAGTGTAGTTTTCTCTGCCAACTGTGGAGTTGGGTTGGGGGAATCCAGATTGGGAGGGTTTGGAATAGGTAGGTTAGTTTTGGGAGGATGATCATTTTGAGCATGACTATTTTGTCTGAGAGAGTGAAATTCATGTTGTTCCATCTTTTTAGGTCTTTGTTAATTTGTCGCCACAGGGGCTTGTAGTTGTGGAGGTACAATTTATTGAGGTTTCTGGTTATTTGTACCCCTAGGTATCTGAACTTGGTGTGGAACAGTTTTATTTTGGTGACCTTCGTGAGTTCTTTTTGGGTGTGAGGAGGGGTGTTGAAGCACATAGCTTCTGACTTTGTAAAATTTACCTGTAGGCCCGACACCATTGCAAATGTGTTGAGTTTTCTGATTAGGGAGGTTGCTGTGCTTATGGGGTCTGGTGTTGTGACCATTAGGTCATCTCCAAAGAGCCCTAATTTATAGGTTCTGCCTTTTATTTCCACTCCCTTGATGTCTGTGGCTGCTCGGATGCGGATTGCAAAGGGTTCCAGAGCCAGGATAAATAAGAAGGGAGACAGTGGGCATCCTTGTTTTGTGCCTCTTTGGATAGCTATAGTATTAGAATCCATATTATTAGTTCTGCATTTTGCTGAGGCTTGGGAGTATATTTGTTTGAGGATTTGTAGGAAGTTGGGGCTGAATTTCATGTTAGTTAGTACTGCTAGTATGTATTTCCACTCTAAGCAATCAAAGGCTTTGAGGGTGTCTAGGGACATAATTGTCAATGGGAGTTTAGTTGCCTTGCTGTGATTCATCAGGTTCAGTAGTTTCCTGATGGGGTCTGTTATATTGCGGCCAGGGACAAAGCCAGTCTGGTCTGAGGCTATTAACTCGTGTAGGAAGATTTTTAGGCGGTTGGCCAAGATTGATGTGAATATCTTGTAGACTTGGTTTATTAATGAGATTGGGCGGTATGATTCTACTTTGAGGTTGTCTTTTAGTGGTTTTGGGATGGAGACTATTTTGGAGTGGGTCCAGGTTTTGGGGATGGGCCAGCACTGTTTGCCATCTCCCTGGTTGGTGTCCTCTCAATCTCCCTAATGGTTTTGGTTTGAGGTCTATTTGGCGTCCTCTTGGAGTAGGGCGTGTTGCGGGTAGAAGTTGTAGCAGTGGTGGTTCCTGGGTGTTGTTGGGTTGCTGAGCTTATCAGGCGTTGTTGACTGGTGGCTTTTACAGAGCGTTCAAATTAGGTGGCCATTTGTGTTACTTCTAGGCTGTGTTTTAAGAGCTTCTCTGGGGTTTCCATAGTCGCCTCAGCAGTGCCGCCAAAGCGGGGGGGGGGGGGGAGGTGTCAGGTAAGCAGAGAAGTGGATAGACCATCAGACAGTTCACATAGAGGGAGGGGGTTAGCAGGCAGAGATGTGTGAGATCAGAGGAGTGGGGCCAGGGGAAATGTGTGTTTAGGAGGGGTTGTATATACACAAAAGGGGTACTGGGGTCCAGTTAAGGTGGAGGGTGGGGTTGGGGATGCGTTCAGAAACAGAACCAGACAGACAGGCTATATGTAAAGGGTGGGGGGAGGAGGAAGAAGAGGAAGAAGCGAAAGAACAAAACGGGGGAGGAGAAGGGTGGGAGGAGGGGGAAATTGGAGTAAAATAAAAGTGGGAAAGAGAGACAGAAAGAGAGGAGGAAAGAGAGAGAAGGAGAGATAGTAAATAACAGTGGTAATAAATTGTAGTGATAGTTTTAGCTATCATATGAGGGGAGCAAAGTGTAGTACAGTGATATGTGTGTATGAATGTATGTATGTGTTTACTTTAAAGAGAGAGGGGGAGGGGGATGGAGAAAGGGAGGGAGAGAGAGAAAGAGAAGGAATAGGAGGGTGGGAAGAAGAAGAAGAAAAGAGAAAAAAGGGAGGGGTGGGGGGAGAGAGAGGGAACTGTGGGAGTGGTGGTGGTATGGGGAAAGAGGTCTTGTTTTAAAAGAGGGGGTGGGGGGGAGAAAGGGCTCCCCCCTCAAAGCAAACTGACAATGGCTAAAAAGGGGGGGTTGATTTAAAAAAAAAAAGGGATAGAAAACAAAAATGGGGGTGGAGAGTAAAAAGTTGGGGGAAAATATGAGGAAAAATAAGCAAAAAGGAGCTGAGTGTCCCGGAAGGGATTTAAGGAGAGTATTTATATGCTGAGGAGGAGGAAGTAAAATAGAGATGAAATAAAAGAAGTTGGAAGAAAAGAGGACAACTACAACAAAAAAGGTCCCCCCCCTTTTTTGGGGGGTGGAGAGTGTGATTTAAGTAATATATGGCTGTATTTTAAGAAAGGTAGTAATAGAAATTTAGTAGAGGGACTGAAGACTTAGGGGGGGAAAGGGGGGTTGTTTTGTGTTGTTGTTTTTTAAAAAAGGTTAGAATATATGAGGGGGAAGGGGGAATTTATGTATTAAAAATAGGTGGAGATGAAAATAGTAATATAAGAATATTATTATTTTCAAAAAGAAGAAAGAAAATTCTTTTAAAAACAAAAAACCAATAAAAAATTAAAATTAAAATAGAAAATGTTTTCCCCTTCTTCCTTCCCTTTAAAAAAAAAACCAAAAAAACACAAACAACAACTACAAAAAACACTCCCTTAAAAATACAAAAAAGATCCTTTTTCTTTTCTTTTCCCTCAAAAATTGAAAATACAGTGGTACCTTGGGTTACATACGCTTCAGGTTACATACGCTTCAGGTTACAGACTGTGCTAACCCAGAAATAGTGCTTCAGGTTAAGAACTTTGCTTCAGGATGAGAACAGAAATCGTGTTCCGGCGGCGTGGCGGCAGCAGGAGGCCCCATTAGCTAAAGTGGTGCTTCAGATTAAGAACAGTTTCAGGTTAAGAACGGACCTCCGGAACGAATTAAGTACTTAACCCGAGGTACCACTGTAGAGGGAAGCAAGGTCTTTTTCAATGGGCTTCTCTTTGG